GGTGCTTTCCCGGGATAAGGCAGCTGGAGTGTGAAGGTAATAATTAATCTTCATAGGTTAGAAATGCACAGAATTGTACCCCCACTCCTCCCTATTTTTGGTGCCATGTTAAACACTGGAACTTAGTTTTTGTAAATTTCTATACCAATATAATGGATTATATAGTTATGTCCCTTTGTCTGTGATCTAGTCGTATTCGTTTTCGTATTCGTATTGAGAGGGCGTGGGTTTCCCCATACACTTAGACCAGTTATTGGTCCATTGTGCGTCCCCCTTTAATTTCTACTGTCGCCAAAACCTACCGGTAACGGTGCGTGCCATCAGCCCCCGTAGAGCCAACGAGGTCGGCCCCCGGTACCTTGATGCTTCCCCCATCAAACCAGAGGCATTGGAGACTACTTGGGCGGGAAAGGGCCTGTAACTTAGCTCAGAGGTCTCCTAGAGACATGAGGTTCTTTTACGTGCCGTAAATCTACGACACGGGACACACGGCTTAAAGCCCTTAAAAATTCCACGACCTCCGCCGGGTTTGAACCCGCGTACCTTGAGTCATGAGGTGGGAACGTTACCCCTAGACTACGGAGGCCGCTCTGTGATCTAGTCACGGAGCAGGTATGATTTGACAGATTTTCTACAGTAATGATGTGAGAGGCTTTCCTTAGAATTTGTCTGCGAATCCCGATTTTCAACCTTACTAATCCGTTAATGCCTGTTAACGTTGTAATAAAAATATGTACTTTCCCATAAGCAACTCACAGACACTGCTGAACACCTAAGAGAAAGATGTTCACTACAGACTGTGGATCGGCTCGGACTTCCAGTAATATAGACTGATTCTAAATTACTGTAGGGGTTTCCGTTTACAGGCCAAAGAAACCCCGACGGTAATTTAGAATCAAAATTCACAAATAATGCCTATATAATACCACAAATGGACACTTCGTTTCGGAGCTGGACTCTGTATCTCTCCTCATGTAGACTCATTTGCTTCGCTGACGTGTACTAACTATCGAATGGGCCCAACTGACAGAGTCAGTTCTCCGAAAGAGTTAGTTCTCCGAAACGTCGCTATAAATAAAATTAGGAAGATGGATATCTAAAAATGGATAATTATAAAAATGTAATATCGTCACGAACTTTTAGAACTTATTCACTAAGTATTTAGTGCAACGAAACTATTTCGAAGACAAGATATTCACCCTGAAAATGGCAACGGTGCTCTATACCGAAATGTTATAGCCTTTAAAATTCTGCTCGACTTATTCCGGAAGACGTAAGATAGTCCTGTACATTAAACATGAACCTGTCAAGAACTTAACGATAAAAATTCGCCTTCTTATATTCACATGTTTGTTAGCACGCCACTGATCCTTCACACATGCTAGTCTGTACACAGGCCAGGCCGTATGCTTCTCACATGCTATTTGCAATAGAACGGCACTGGTATAAATAGTATGACACAGCATTTCAGCACACATTTCGACTGCCAACAATTTGTATGTTTGACTGATGTAAGAGGCACACCTTGTGAGATTCGAATAGATACAGAGCACTCCAAAAATATCGACTCTAAACGTGAGGTACAACGGGAGTACAGTTTTAACCATGCGAAAATTGTAGTCACACATCAAAACGCGTTATTCTTGGTTTGTGACAGGAACTCGGTGATATTGTGCTTCGAATCTTGTTCAGTATCCTGGTCAATAATAGAGCCCTTTTTTAATTTCTGCGTCTTCATCTAAAAGGAAAACTACAGACTTTATGAATGAAGATGTTTCGAGAATATTGTTCTGAGATATGACATCGTACAGCGTGGTAAAAGGAGCCGGAATAGCATAGTCGGTATAGGGATTGGCTACGGACTGAACGACAGAGGTCGGAGTTCGAGTCCCAGTAGGGTCTAGGATTTTCTCTCCTCTAAGACTGGGGCCACACGAGCGCACGCAGTACGTCCGTTGCAACGAACGTACTTTATGATGGACGTTGCTGAGGACACCACACAGTTGCAGAATGCGGTGCGTAGTTTTTTGTCTGCAATGGAGGCAGAAGAAAGCGTAGCATTCGCCTCGCTTGTATATTTCTACAACGGACGTCACGACGTTCCTTACAACGGACGCATTTTGTGCGCTCGTGTGGCCCCAGCCTAAGTCGTCCAGACCGGCTGTGGGGTTCACCCAGCCTCCTATCCAATGGGTACCGGGGATGAAGCGGCCGGTTCGTGAAGCTGACCTCTCACCTACAGCTAATGTCGAGGTCAAGAAAAATGTGCATCTATACCTCCACCCCCGTACGCCTTCATGGCACAGTGCTTAATTAGTTAAACACAGGGATAACTTTACCTTTTATAGTGTGGTAGAAATCCACCCAAATTTCTGCCTCTGTCTTGAGATTATTACTTACTTGCTTTACTCTTCGGCTCTCAAGATGCCGGCAGTAAATTTCTCCGAAACATTGGTAAATTTGTATCACATTCCACGACGTCACCGAAGGGATTAGCCTAGAGGTAAAATTCTATATTTGTATTCGTCAGGTACTCGGTTTGTATCTCGGCAGGAACATCAGGTATCTTGGGGTTGTCGTGATTTTATTCAGTCTCTCCAGGAAAAATGCCGGGTTAATGCTTCGATTAGTCCTTCACCTCTTCCTTTCAGATCCTTTCCAATTCATCTTCATTTATCATCCTATCATTATACGCTATATATAGTCTTGATACGGAAAGCTGCACTGTGTCACAACACAGATGGTAGTAATGTTTATGGCAACGGCAATTGAGAATATCAGCATCATACAGCTTTATGACCAAATCAAAGACCTTCAGACGAATACTAATGTGTTCTTGGATGTGGCATGGTGCAGTCTGGTAATATTCACCGATGTTTTGGATGAGCGTACTATCTCCCTGAAGATGGTGGCAGTGATCTTCATAGCCACCGTTTTGTTGAACCTCAAATCTCATTGAAAGGAGGGAACTGCATCACGCAATACAGCATGTCACGCCACTGGAATCCGTACACCAGCAGGAGCTTGGGAGAAAATGGAAAGATTGACGGTAAGGTAAAAGCGAGCGGACGTCCCAATACAGACACAACACAAGAAGTAATTTGTTGGTTTGCCATTAGAAGAAGGGCTAGAAGTATTTGCCACTGAACCAGAACTTCATTAAGGAAGACAGAAACAAAATGAACGTGTTCCTCTTTCCGAAGATATTGACATGTGATACTCTAAACGGGTTTCTTGTTAGCGAGAATCTTCTGTTTCTTACAAGTTTGGGATCCTGATCAAGAAGACGTTTCAAGTTTAACTTCAATCGAAATTTTGAAGCCAAATTCACATACAAATATTAATAGTGCACCCTTATATAAGTAAAGTAAAGTAAAGGTATCCCTGTAACAGGCCGTGGAGGCCCATAGGGTTGTGAGATGTTGAGGTTCCCACATTTTCTCTAGAGAATCGGCTCACACATGGCGGTAAGGTTGTCAGCCTTACGTGCCGGCCGCCCTTTACCCCCAAGAATATTCCAAGATCCTTATATAAGTGAATAAATAAATATTTGCCGGCCACAGCAGTCGCGCGGTCTAAGGCATGAACTGTCTTCGATCGCTGGGATCGTGGGTTCGAATCCCGCTGGAAGAATCATTGGAAAAATATATAAAACAGTCCTATTTACCACTATTATTTTTGGAATGTTATGTGTACCACCTAATTGAATTTTTCAAACGTTCACGTTATGTTTCGGCCCTATACGGCCATTTTCAGGTATATGTCTTCAACGTGTCACTCAAGTATACGAAAATATAAAATTTTAAAAAGTTCAGTGTCCAAGGTAGATAATGTCCAACTTCAGCTAACGCAGCAAGAAATACAATAGCAGAAATTTATGTCTGTAAAACACAAAACGCTTTGCGTATCCAACATCAAGACTGGCCGGTCAGTGCTGCTTCGGAAATTAGTCAAAGTTTTCAGAGAACCATACGAGTCCATAAATGCCCTGTGTTATTTTGTTTATCGCTTATTTAACGACAATTCCAATGGGTCTGGCTTTAAAGTTTTGATTTAAATTATGTTTAATGAATAATCAGTTGAAAAGTGCAGTAAATGGGAGGAAGCGATCAGTCACAACTGAGCCACTGTCCCAACATTATTTTTCTGGGCAGCCAGTACGTATAAAACCAAAAGAGACGTCAATCAGGATTGATGGTGTCACTGCAGAGATTCGAATGGGATACCTCTCAGATACAGCCACAGTAAATCCACTCATGGACAATCAATTATTGATTAAAATTCATTCCAATGAACAGGATGTCATCTGATGAAGTAGAAGTTTCACAGAACTGGTTATCGCAGCGGTAACGCTATTCAGTCATATCCTAGATGTTCTCTATTTGAATTTTGGTCTGACCAACAGAATGCTGACTAAGATTTTTCGTAATTTTCCTCAGTCCCCTCGGGCAGATGCGTGTATAGTATATCGCTTGAGCCATAAATATTTCCTTCCAAATTCTTTCAGTTCATTCTTCTGTCATCGTACAAGTTCGACGATATAGAGAGTGTTCCAGAAGGACAAATCAATTTTCTGGGGGATCCCAGCTATTTCACTATACAGTTCCAAAATTGTTGGCTAGAAAAAGATATTACGTACTGTTTCTAATACCGGTATTTATTGTTCAAGTGTCAAAGTTGGGACAGTTTACCTAGTATAATATAAGTCCGAAAATTCCACCGTCAACATCAATGCACTTTGCAGCTCGTGTGAGGACATGGCGTGTTGCTCGTCTGTACAGTGTACAGTGTACTGTACAGCGAAATAGCTGTAATTCGGAAACCGGAATAGGACACTTTTACATATACACTTTTTTGCTTATAATGACCGACACTGTGACCTCCTAGAATATTAACTTTTTCTCTTGGGACACCTTTATTAACAAAATATCAGAAGCTTCTTATGACGTCATTCTCCTGCAGTGCGCCCTCAAGTGTGATGTTTTGGGTTTTGTGTGTAGGTGGTCGTTTCGTCGTGACGTCTAGCGGCGACCTGCACATCAAATCGGCACAGTCGTCGGATGGTGACGTGAACTACAGTTGCCTGACGCTGCACTCACTGACCGGCGATCGGCGACGCAGTGCTCCCGCAACGCTCATGGTCACAGGTGAGACTGAAGAAGTCGTCAATTATGGCGCTATCGCTAATCTACCCACTTCACAAATTACTAGGACACGCTAAGTCTTCTCAGTCTTCACTAGTCGTATCCAGGCAACGGATTTATAACACTCTCACTGTAATTACAGCACGCATCTGATCTTTTCGCAGGCTAAATCCTTTGTACACCGTTATACGTACTTCGTTGTACGACTTTGTACTCGTTCTCTAGTTCCAAAGTTCTGATTCACTTCGCTTCTATGCCACTTATATAGTCTCGAGGCGGACCCCATGAAAACACCGCCTCTCAACAATTCGTAGAGTTGTTTACCGCTCCGTTGCCCAGAAAGGGGCATACTTTAATGCCGCGTATTGCTTTACGCATTACCCAGCAACGGCTTTTTGCAAAGAATCTGTTTCCGCGGGAACGTGCTTATCGAACCGTTGCGTAGCAATCGATTTATACATCACAATATTATTTACAACAATGTTTCTCGGCCACTGTTACGCGTATCATTTGCGGAATCTAGCGGTTGGATGATGGGACACGAGGTCCCAAAATGGGAAACCCCACGAATGATGACTGTAGTATTAAAATATTGTCACGTGATAGAGTGTCTGCAAACGTGGTTTCGGATGGATAATTGGATTCATCGACTTCTGACATATCCATAACTACAAGTAATTATAGTCGTTTCACTAATTCACATACTTTACAGTTCACTAGAGCACACACTTAAGTATTCTCAGCCACACTCTGTCTCCACCAGTCGTTGTCTGGTAACGGCTTCCAACGGCAGACGTTCCCCTTCCCCTGGGTTAACGAACTGTTCCATGCTTCAGTTACAGCAAATCTGATTAACTCAAAGTCAGAGTTACTGCACGACTGGCGGCTTGCCGCAAATCACTTCATTTTGGCGGCAAGCTCCTTGAGACTCACGACCAGAAACTTTTTCAACTAAACCCTGCTTATAACATCTCTGCACGAACTGCATACAAAACACCATTCCATTACTGTTGTTCCCTTGTTACGTTCGTGTCTGTTGGGGCTCTAATTTATGTCGAGGAAATATGCCTCTTTGTAAAGGCGTTACTTAGCAACGGCTGTTGTATATTTGTTTATTTCGCTGTCGTTTCCTAGCAACAGATATACATGCCACATTATATGCAAATATTAAAAATATACTTCATGGGGGCAAAGAGTATTTGTTTTTATTGTGGTGGCGCTACGAAATTTGGCTGAATGATGAAGAGTGGTATAAGATGCAATTATTAGTGTCTCAAGGCCGTCTCTGCTCCACGGAATATCATAGATAGTTATTGAATAGTCGTTAAATAATTTACGAAGTAAAGTTTAATTGATTATTTATTAATTTACTGCATGAATTATGGTTTTTGTTCGCTTCAGTTGCTCTTTCAGTCTCTCTCTTTGTCATGTCTGGAAATTTGGAACAACCTGTAGGCTTGGAAATTTGGAACACCCTGTAGACTTATCTCCCGTCTCTTTTGCACCAATAATTAATCTGTAAGGGAAATACGATCTGACTGGTTGAAATAAACTTCACCTTCAAATGAACCTCTCGTCCGAAATCCAGCATCGGCTGTGGATTTTCATTTCCATAATGATTCATTGTCTAAATGAATAATCGCATGTAGAAAGGGGATATCCATTTCCATATATACAATAGTCATGAACTAACAATAGTCGCAGTAATTTAGAAGCTTCACCCTCCATGTGCATTAGAGCAAACAATAAAATATTGCCCTTCCCGGAAACCGGTTCACATTTCAAACAGTACAGTATATCTCGGGTTACTGCTTTTTCAAACTTCCTGTGATGAATGAAACAGCCATTAAAATAATTTTTATGGTACGTTTTAGGGCTTCGAAGGGTTGTAACTTGTGTTGCAATAACAAAAAAATGTAAAAGTAAAATTTCCTTCTGCTTAAATCTTTCCACGCCACCAGCCGACGAGATCGGGTCCGGTGTACTTGGTTTTAAAATCACCGCAATCAAAGAGATCGGCTTCTTTTCTAGCAATTAGTGTAGCATTTATGTCGATAGGTGGCACCAGATGTGGCATAAAGAAAATTAAGAGAATGAACGGTCTTTCATATGTTATATTTGTATTACCGTTTCTGGTTGAAGGTCATTTGAGAGAAATATTGTGAGGTTTTCCGTGCAGTTGTACGTACCACCATCAGCCCTGGTGCCTGTGGCAGGTGGTTTGGCAATCAATGGGCAAAAAATGCCACGCTATGAATATATCTGGGGGAGTGTAAGTAGAGTTCCACACATTCTTAATCTTGTCATTAAATGAAGATAAGCGGTCACCTTCACATAATTGTCGCTGTACCGCCTGAAAAGAGCCCCTGTACCAATTGAGTTCGAGGTTTGATGGACCACAAATCCAGTCTGTACGGTATGTAGTAGAAAAAATTATCTCCTCGGATGAGCGGTAATGGCTCTGCCAACATATACGAATTCAATAATTCCACGGTAACAATTGCACTGTGACAGACACAGCGGTGTTTACTACACGGTCTCGTGGCGAGATGTTATAAGCAGGACAAGTGAGGCTTTAGTGGAGTTAGTGAAGAGTTGGTTGGTGAGTTAGTAAGTTAGGTATCCCGCTGGGTTTCAGTCGTCGTGAACTGTTGTTAGAAACTGGTATCTGAGGCCGGGGACAATTCGGAAACTGAGAGGAAGCGGAACGTCTGCCGTTGGAAGCCGCCACCAAGCAACGTCTGAGAAGACCTGGGGTG